TAAAGGAAAAATATTAGACAAACTGAACTGACAGAGATTATATCCAAACTTGAAACTGAAAATTCAAAGAACTCAAATAAGAACAATTTCCCCCCTTTTATCTTACATCAACTGACAGCAAAAAGGAAGGAAGGAAGTAAAAAAAGGTAAGGGAGAATGAAATCAAGATCTCCTCTCGCTGCCAGAGTACAAATAAAATACCACCAAGCGTGTCCACTCTTATTATGATGGTGCTCAGATGATGCTGGAACATACGAGTGGGCTTACACAGTTCTTCTTTTTGTGAATAAATGTGCGACTGCCTTTTCTCATTTAGAGCCGTTTGCAATTCTTTATAATTCATCGCGTTCTCATTTGCCCATTCATTCATGCACAGTCCCAAACATATGCAGTGGCCTGAGCATTGAAACCACTGGCGTTGCTCGTCTTGCTGAAGACATCTGTATACGTGCATGGCATGAATTACCATGTACATCACTCCCAACACACCTGCCTTATATATTATTTACAGGTAGAAAGAACGGAGAAGGGAGGGAGCAATCTTGTTGCTAATGTATGAATAAAACAATCACTATTGCCATACATAAGTTCTGTCTACTTGTTTTTTTTGATAGTTCTCAGTGAGAACATATGAGTCAGCTCACTGCTGTCTTTTTTCTTCTGTCTAACTGTAGCTCCATCGATTTAGAAGCGTTTATCATCCCTGATAATTCATTCATTTTTTCCTTTTGCCCATTCACTCATGCACAGACAAAAACATAACAGGAGACCTTTAAAACAGTTCGGGTCCATTTTTCTTGCTCAGATCCCATCAATACATGTGGATGGAAAAAGCTGAAAACCCCCCGCATTAGTATGTAATTCACCAGAGCAAACAAAGGGCTCGAGATGGCAAGTTGGGCAAAAACACGTCTCGGATTTGAACTCAGTAAAACTAAATTGTACAAAGCTATACGGCAATCAGTTTTTTAGTGCTTACCAATAAACCTACACTTAAAACGTTCATGTTACAACACCTGGTGTGTAATATTAAGTGGTTGATAAGATAATGATAACACCATAACAGCTTGACCCATTTGTGTGGATATAGAGTTAGACATATAAACATCTGTGTAAAGAATTGTATTCACTGTTGAACACATTTAGGAATCATTTGTAGAAAGGTTTCTGCAAATAAACAAATTGATCCTAGTAATGAGCGTTGCACGTGTATTGAAAGTGTTATGCAGCTTTTAGTGCCTCTGTGCTCAAACCAAGCACCACAATGGGGATGAAAGGTGATTTAAGTGACTTTGAACGTGGTATGGTTGTTGATGTCAGATAGGCTGGTGTAAGTATTGCAGAAACTGCTGATATACTTGGATTTTCCCCACGCAACCATCTCTAGGGTTTAAAGAGAATGGTCTGAAAGTAAGAAAAATATCCAGTGAGTGGCAGCTCTCTGGGCAAAAATGCCTTGTTGATATCAGAGGTCAGAGAAGAATGAATAGACCTCTTTGAGATGTTATAAAGACAGCAATGACTCTAAAGAACTGCTTGTTACAACCAAGGTATGCAGAAGAGCATATCTGAATGCACAACCATACTAAGTATTATCTTAGTACTGCTGACAATGAGTTCACTGCACTCAAATGACCTTCACAGCCACCAGATCTCAGTCATAGATCATGTTAGGGGTGTGGTAGAGCTGTCGACGTGTGATCCTATCAGGTCAATATGGAAGAATGTTTACTTGCTGAATATTTGCCACAAAATGATTAAGTAAGTATGGAGACAATGTGCGTTGTGTACTACTGAACCACATTATAGTGTCTCATAGTGATGAGACACCATTTATTAATTTGAAAGATAAATCATTTAACTATTTTGGGACTCCATTGCTGCAAAATGGTCAAAGGTGAGGGGCCCAAAGTCATTATTTTATATGCAGAAAACAGACATGAGAAACATATATAGCTTAAAGACATGCAAAATTATTATGGTACAATGAAACAATGTTTCCAACTGTGCACATTTTTCTAAAATATTCTCAGGAGATTTGCAAATAAATGTGTCTTACTTTTACCAAATTAGATTGTCTGAGGTACATGACTGCCTTTCCCACTTTCTTTATTTGTTGTTTATTTCTGTGTTAGTGGCAGCTGCAATTACAGAATGAAACTACTTGAGACCAATATGACTGAACAGCCTTTTCAGAAAATTGTAGCATGACTGAAAACAAATTATTGAATCCAAGATGACAAAATAGAAAATATGTTAAAGAATAAGAGAAAAGGGGTTAGATACCCTATAAAAAGCAGCAAAATAATCACATGGGTGGGAGACAAAAGAAGAGAGAGATTGCAGATAACAAAAGGAAAAAAAGGGGCAAAGCAGATATAGCAGGAGGGAAAAGGGAAGAGATGAAGGGGGTAAAGAGGACAATTGTGCTTGCTTTCTCTTTGGTGCATATTCCCTATGTTTTGGCAGTGTGTGAAGCAGTTGTGTGTAAGAGCCTAGGGGAAACAATACACAGTGGCACGCTTACCAAAACACACACACATATACACGCACACACACACGTGCATGCACACTGCACTGTGGGCAGAGCTGCCAGGAGTGTGGGAGTCCAGTGGTGTGCCCTGTATGCTGTCAAAGACACTAAGCCACACCGACAGCTCCCAGGTGACCAATGGGCTCACTGCCCCAGTAAGTGACAAGCTGCTAGGCACACTGAGCCCTGCTGGCCTCTACACACACATACACACACACACGTACACACAATGGTCACAAACTTCACTGTGTTTGTGTGGCGCATAACAGTGAAGGAAACCGCTGGGTAACACAGCCTCTATCCTAGCTGGAGTACAGTGCACAACGCAGACAAATCAATACCTCAATTAGAGTGTGGCAAAGACTAAAGGGTGAGAGAACAGAAAGGGGAGAAGAAGAGGGAAAAGTGGGGTGGAGTGAATGTATGGAAGGGGGTGGGCGGGAAGGGGGTGGTTGATTTGGAGAATGGAAAACGGCAGGAGACTCTGTAGTAATGATTTGATAGATAGCACAGTGCAGAAAGCCACATACCTGCTGGCATAATGTTCAATCCTGCTGTGTGTGTCTGCATGGGGCAGCTTGGGCGAGGAGCACGGTCTGGGAACAAAAGGCGCCGCCGTCAATACTTCACAGATGCAATTTTTAACTCTTTCAAAACATGAACGTGTGGCTGCAGAACAGCAAAACTGAAGAATTAGCGTTCTACTACTACTACTACTACTACTACTACTGCAACAAACCAAAGAGACTTCAGGAAAAACTTTATTTAGGGAAGCACAAAGGGATTCTGACAGAGGTGATTTTACAGGAAGAATGTGTGATGGTTTTGAAGCCCATCATCTCTGGCTTGTGAGTTTGCTGCATAAGTAATGAGTTGATCAGAAGATTAGGAGCGAGGACATCTGTATAGTAAGCTCTTTTTAACAAAATGGCTTTTTGCACTAAGAATCTTGAGTATGTGTTGAACGTTGATCATAATGCTGCCCTAAATTGACGGGTACAGACAAAAAAGCCCCTCCTGACACGTAATGAAAGCTGCTGCATTTATTCGTTGAATATATTTCATCACTAAATATGAAGGTCAAGCATTGCTTCCAATTATTTTTCCATTTTGTGCCCTGGGCAAATTTATGGATTAGTATGTTTTTATGTATTATAATTATATGCTGCTGCAAAATGACATTGCCGAGATGTAATCTTCAACCAAAAGCACTTTATCACGTGACTGAGATCTTAGCTGGAAAAAGGCAATTTAACGGTCTTCGCTGGCTTGTCTTTGTCTGACGAGGGCAGGCTTAATGTCGCAAGGTCAGGACCATACCTTTTTAATAAGCTCCTATTATAACCATATACTGAATCTTTAGCTCTAGCTCATTGTTTGTTGGCAGGACAGATAAAATAGTCATAAAAGATGACCATAAAAATGGGCCAAAACCTGGACCCATAATTGCGTAAATCATCCTGGGTACATCGTAGCCTGAAGCGATGCTTCACGATGATCTAATGGATGCTAGTCTCATTGCCTGTTTCCCGCTTTAAATGAGACTCAGTCATGTGAACAGGGCTCCCGAGCCGGAATGAGATCACAGGACTAACGTTATTTTAATCCCGAACACAGAGCTTTCTCTTTAACCCATCTGAGTGAGTCAGCATGATAATTAGCCTGCAACAGCAGGAGTACGTATGGGTGTAACAGTGAGTCAGTGAGGGACAGATGACAGGAGAGAGACGACTGTGTTCTGTGTGTGTTTATGTGCAGGACTCACGTCTCTGAGGTATCAGCTTCCAGCACTGACTGCACTGGCAGGTAACCTCTCTGCGGGTGCTTCGTGAAGTACTGCTTTGATCTGAACTTGTTCTTCAGAGTCTTGGCGAAGTCCCTCATCTTTTCTCCTGAGGTTGTCTGTAGTGCGATTTAGGTGCACATGGGGTAAGTGGGTAACGTTGAGGTGATGGGTGGGAGACAATTTATACAACTTCAGTTTTCTTGGAAACGTTGCGTTCTCCAACATTACCTCATTTAAAATTTATCCAGTCTGCCTTGAAGCCGGTTTGTTTTGACTTTACCAACTTTTTTCCACCCTGTGCTTTTTCATTCAGTTTCTACTGCTGTTCTCTGCCGATCCTTTATATTTTGTCTAAACTCTTGCCTCTTTTTTCCCCCTCTCTGATTCTCTTTCCTACTCTCTCAATCAGTGTAGAAATCTATGGGCGCCTGCCTGCCTAGCGGGTGAAAAAAAAAAAAACTGCAGCTAGCAAACATAAAATATTGTCCGCTGAGAAAAAAACACATTGTACGGATGGCCCTTTGCCATATTTTGCAGCTTGGAATTGATTAAAGATTTAATCTGGCACCATCTCAGTACACTCCAGCACTCCAGCAACAGTGCAACAGCTACTCATTTAGAATGAACTCCACTTTGGACACTGTACATGCACTCGTTTAAGACTTTGGTCTTATTGGAGTTTTGTGCTCCAAATCCCACTTTATGTGCACCGTTCAAGCCAAAAGGATATTGCTGCTGAGAAGTGCTCAGTCTCTGCATACTACAGATAACTATAAGGATATTTAACAGTATTATAGATGTTAGAGTCCGTACAGTGGAAAGGTGCCTAATCCATGTCTGGCAGCAGAAATCAGGAGTACATTTTTTTCCTTTTCGTTGGAGTACAGCTGGGCTCTATCCATCACTAGGAACTTGAATTTGTATTCCGTAAGAGCACTAGCTAATGTTTGTCTTACTGGTGTATAGTACTCCATGATGGGGTAGTGCAGCTTCTTTCCCTTGGTTGTGCGCCCGGTTAGAAAACATGTCTGGCAGATGTCCACATTGAACTGCTTCAGACTGCGATACCTGTCAAGATCAATATAAAAGAGAGGCTCAACTGATGTTTGCAAGAGAACCAGACAGAGTAGAGTGGCTCAGTGTGTGTAGTTGTGTTATCCTGCTGTTGGGACATAAATCTGTTTACACCGTCATGCTGAGACCTTTTGGGGGTTTTTCTTCAAAGTGACAAAAACAAAAAAAAAACGAGTGCAGAGAAAATAATGGTTTGTGTGTCTAATCTTATCTAAATAAGATGAATGACGCATTAAATTTGCTTTCAGTTTCGTGCTTTGTGTATGAATGTGAAATAGTAACTGCTATTATTACATATAGACGTGCACATACATCACTTATATCCTTCACAACATTTGATGAAAATAAACAATATTAACCCTTAGATGCACACGTGGGGTCAAAAATGACCCCATGGGTTGTTTTTCTTCAAAATCTTTAAAATGAAAAGTTGTAATATATTCATATTCCAGGTATTCCTCATAAAATATGTTTGTAACATGAGGCCATTTGCATTTTTATTTATTTTTTCATTATAAATGAAAATAAAAAATAAAATAATAGTGGAAAAATGTAATCAAACATAAGCTCCTGGCCTTCATTTGATTGACCGTTCTTGCAGGAAATGAGAAGAACTGGGATGTACCAGTCAATGTGTTTTTTTTGGGAGTCCTCTGCATAACCTATTGTACAAGGCCACTATGTCAATTCAAAGATTTAAAGATATTCAACGTTTCTTGCACTTTGATGACAAGAGCCTACCGACTGAAAACAAACCACATGGCAGCTTTCCGCTACATATGGGGCCTGTTGCTGGTCAACTGCAGGCAGAAATTCATCCTCAGTGATTGTGTTACAGTGGATGAACAACTTGTGCCTTTCAGAGGGAAGACGCAGCTTCTGCAGTATTTGCAGAGCAAGCATACAAAAGTGATACAAGGATACAAAAACTGCAACTTCTTAAAATTAATGAAAAAATAAATAAAAATGCAAAGTGCCTCATGTCACAAACATGTTTTATGAGGAATACCTCAAATATGAAAATATTACAACTCTTTGTTTTAAAGATTTTGAAGAATAACAACCGAGTTTATAGCAAAATGCATTGTTTCTATTTGGGGTCATTTTTGACCCGACTCGTGGAAGAGTGTAGGCAGTTTTGTTCAGAAACCTTCAAGCGTGATGCTAATACTATAGTATGTGCAATGGAGTGTGCAGCTTTTCCTCATTATCTCTCATCATTTTTATTATAAACTAGATTTTCCAGCATCCAGCATCCAACTTTTAATTCTGTAATAAACTCAAGTTTAGAATTTGTAGGTAATAAAGTGCAAAAAGATCCTATGGTGATTATTTTAGATATATCAGAGGCACTGACCACATGCAGGCTCACAAAGCAGAGTTCAATATAGTTTGGTGTTAAGGTTTTTGGTGTCGGTGGTGTGTGGTTGTTGCACAGGTTGTTGGGCAAGGATGCTAGAACCAACATATCCTATCAAATCAGGAACATCATGAAGAAGCGGAAGCTGCACAGACTAAGGCTACGTTCACACTGCAGGCGAAAGCGCATCAAATCCGATTTTT